ATTTCTCCATCTCCCTCCGTACAGATCTGGGACGCGGCCTCGGGGAAATTTCTGCACACGACCGTGGACAAGGAGATTCCCATCAAGAAAGGCTGGAAGAACGGAACCAAGATCACGTTTGAGCGGGAGGGTGACGAGCTCCCAGGGGTCATCCCCGCGGACATTGTCTTCATTTTGAACACAAAACCCCACCCACGCTTCGAGCGGGAAGGCGATGACCTGGTTTATGCCGCAACCGTTACCTTAGAGCAGGCCTTAACCGGCGTCGAAGTCTCAGTCCAGACATTGGATGGTCGGGTTTTGAAGGTAGTGAAAGGAGGGAGGGAGAGAGGGAGGGGGGCTGTTTGGTGTATGACGATGTATCTTTTCTCCTCGCTCGCCAGAGCGAAGCATCCGGGGAGTCTATGCCGGATTGTGGGACAGGCCTCGAAAAATATAGAAGCTTGCTCCCCGTCCGTGTAATTGGGGGCTTTCCAAAGGCCAGGAAGGCCTTTTTGGGATTGGTGCAAATGTCGGGACGTCAGTGTCTGCTCTACTCCTATTGACTGTCTCTTTTTTACCCGATCAGGTGAGCGAACCGCACGTCACCCCCGGGACCGTCAAGATCCTGCGCGGGGAGGGCATGCCTCTGCAGAAGACCCCCGGAAAGAAAGGCAACTTGCGCGTCAAGTTCAACATCGTCTTCCCCACGCTCTCGGAGACACAAAAGCAAGAGATCAAGCGGGTGTTGAGAGGAGGGAGAATGTAAGGGGAACTTGCCGAAGAAATTTACCAAATCTTGGGAGATGAAAGGATATGGACCGGGACAAAAATTGGCAGTCCATTCTAGAAGGTGCATGTGTGGCAGATGGTGGCTTGCGATCTAGAGATGACTTGTCATGACGAGATTTAATCGTCTCCTGCCCCTTGATCCTGTAGAGAGGTCTCGTCACGCCGAGGCCCGGACGCGTGGAGGTTTTTTGAGAGTAGGGAAATGCACGAGGAACACATACAGAAACATGGAGAACACCTTCATGACTGATGATATGTCGTATGCCTATCAAAGTGAATGTATAGGAAGACGAGGAGTCGCGAACAGTCTTCGTGTGACGTGTTACCGGGTCAAAAAAGGAAATAGATTCTAAGCAGTACTGAAGATCCTTGTGGATTACACGTTTTTACCCGACATGCGATGCTTTCCATGAAAACATTGCAAGATGACAAAAATTGTGCCATGGTACATGGTGACCCGTAACAACGGTCTCGGAGTTGTGATGTCACCTCTCTAAAATGCATCCCTCACACGGGGAAAAAAGAATCCATGCGCCGATTTCTTCTTCCAGGGCGCTGCATACACTTGAGCATGCAAGTGCCGTGATAGGCAGCTGCTTTGTTGATGTATTTTGATGACCAAGCTCGATTCGAGAAATAACCTCCTGCCCATTGCCTGCGACATAGAAGTACTGGAGTCTGAAACCACTTCGACACCAACGCAGGCGCGAGAATTGAAAAGCAACCAGAATTTATATCTTCATTTTCATATTATATTGGTGAAATCCTGGTGAAGCTCTTGGAAAGGTAAAAGTCAATGGTATTGTACGGGGTAGGGGGGGGTGCTGTCTACGGTTATTTTGGCGCGAAAAGCACAAACATAGTATCATTCCCATCAAAACCCATACCCGGCTGAGTCATGGCCAACTTCTCATACTCAATCCCCCATCAATTTCGATCCACCTTTACCCACATCGATCAAAAGTCGTGTCAGGTGGTTATGGGGACCAAAGCTTCGAAGCCGGTGGAAGCTGAGCAGCCAAAATTGGGCAAAAGTGGAAAAAAAATCTGTTGCTCGTGCCCTGACACAAAAAAGGTGTGTATGTATGGGAAACATTTTGATTCTAGAGTTTATATCACCAAGAGAGGTAAATTATTTGGTAGACCATAATCCGTAGTTTTTGCCCCTTCCGCTACGATTGTAAGCTCGAATAATTGCTTGCAGGCGTGCACCCACCAAACGTGGGACTGGAAGAAGATGATTTTACATTAATGAGGCGTCGAAATGGTGGAGGGACGACTTTTTCCCCATCACCGTTTTCAATGAGGGCCTAAAGGTGCTCCTTAAGGCACCCTACCGTCTTTAGGAAGAGGATCGGTGTAGTGAGGGGGAGAGCGAAGGGTACGGAGTGCGTACGGTACCTAAACCGTCAGAGGAGTCAATGCATTGGCACTTTCTCACGCAACCAAGGCTATCACGAAGCTTCGCAAGTGCCCAGAGTTGCGTTGTTGGTTGTTGGTCTGTGCCTGCTTTTTGGCCATTACATGCTCATACACCCACGCGCCGTACGAAGTGCGTTCAGGAAAAGGAACAAGGCATCTAACCCTCTCCCTCCCTCCCCCCCCCTTTCCCCGCCTC